AAAAATAAAAAATATTTGATTTAAAAGTTTCATTACGTATTTCAATCACTTTAATAGTCTGTGACTGAAGGCAAACTATTAACGTAACTACTTATACAACCTAAACTTAGATTACAATAATTTAAATATTTATTATGCATGTCATATAAATATTATTATAATTCCAAGTATTTCTAAAATAATGTGTAAATACATTAACGTAAGCATGTACTTAAAATAACTCGTGTTAAACACTGTTTATAATTAATACAACATAAATAAAGTGTTTTTAAGGTATTAAATCTTTAATAGAAACGGAGCACAAATGAAAGGTGTTTGCCCGGATCGGATATTCAATGTTTTTATTTAGCATGTCCCCGATACCTCCCAATTTAAATCGCTAATAACTTAGGAATAAATGGAGCACAAACAAAAGGAATTGTAGCTCAAACCAGCACAAACGTTGGTATTTTATCATTAAGTGAATATTTTAAATATCAAGGATTATTGGTTTTTGAATTACAACAAAAATACAAAATACAAAAATTGATTGATAAAAATGCATTTTTACCGATGAACATCTAATATCGTAAACATTTTTAATTTTATAAATTTTTTAACTTTACATTTTAGATTCTGAGTGAAACGATGAATGTATTGATTTTACAATGATGTGTGTTTTTTTTTTTTTTTTTTTAATTTTTTAATTTTTATATTTTTTTTGTGTCTGTGTACACGATAAGTAGTCGAAATAATGCTTCGATTTTCAACTTCAGTATCTTGTTCGATTGGAAAGTGAATATCGTTGGTGCATTGGGGAGGTCAAAATTTAAATTTCACAGTAGTTTTCAAAAGCGCCGGGAAAAACAAAATAAAAATTAAGGAAAAACGGGAATTTTTACGCAAAATCGGTTTTCCAAAAAATCGATTTTCGTTTTTGGTGTAACTTTAAAACAAATGACCGTAGATACATGAAATGTTCAGTGGTTGTCAAGGATTGAAAATTAAAAAAAAAGATTCTCATAAATAGTTCATACTGTAGCCAAAAAATCTAAAAAATATATGAGCACAGTTATTTTTTACAGACATTTTAAGTTCAAATTTGGGACGAAATTACATATTAAAAAACCTAGCATACCTATTTTAGTTATTTTGCTGTGAGTGTATAATACTATTCGTAGGTACTTGAAACTTCTAAAGTACACTATATTATATATCTATGATAGTATCAGGGTTTTTTTATTGATGTATAACGTGTTATAATAGTACCTAATGGATATTGTGATATGATTAATTTGGAATTTATTATAGGTCAATTTTTTTTTAATACCATAGATATGTGTGTAATTTCTTGGTATGTTCTGTAACAGCAATCAATTAGATTCATGACCTTAAATACTGAAAATATAAGATTAGTAAAAGATTACTAAATATAGTGAAAATGATCAGTTATTTACCATTTTACATTGGGAGGATATGAACCAAGGCCTGGCACGTAGCCATGAACTTTTTGTATAATGAGCCTTAAAATCAAAACAAAAAAAACAGTGGAAATTGCAATAGTATACAAAAACATCATAATCAGATACATACAACCAGGAATATGATTATGCTTATTATACCCTGGAGAAAAAATAGCTATACTATAAATATTTGAGCACAAAAAAACCCAACGTATTAAATTTCAAAACTAGAAATTCTCGGTGACTCATTCAACACACTTAACAGTTTTTAAAAATACAACTGACATTTAGCGAGAATTATTGAGGACAAAACAATACTTGAAAAAAATTATATTGGAAATAATTAATATTACTTGTATTTGGATATGTAGAGAAATCAACATAGAAAATATCAAAATAAGAGATCGAGAAGCCAAAAAGCTATATAATCCATAAACACACTAGTCTTAAATATTACAACTTTTTCAGATACAATAATATTTAAATAAAAGGCCTTGTCAATATTAAAAGGAAAACCACTACCATAAACATAAACCAAATGATGGAAAAGTGGTACTGCTCTGCTCTACAGTAGTTTTCGAGTATGTCATTGTAAAGGATTTGTTATATTTGAATTCAATGATAAAATATTGCATACGAAAAACTATCCTGAGAGGAGACGTTGTGTCATATTAGCATTCTTGTATAAACTACAAAATATAATCAAATTTAATTATTGAAGAAAAATTAATAAAATTCGAAAATACCTATTAGCTATAAATGGCGTAGCTTTCTTGTACATTTTATTTTTGATAAAGGTAGACAATTTGTGGGACTTATGGATATAACTTGTAGATAAAATCTACAGTAATAATAGTAGGTACTGTCATTTTATTTTGGTCAACAGTTCATTACCGACTATTTTATATTTTTTCTACCCCAGAAATCTGATACTACTTATTGTAGGTAAACATTATTCTAGCATGTAAAACTTCATTGATAAACATATGAGTAGTGAAAATTACAGTTTAAACCTATTAAGGATATAAGCATTTAAAAAATACGCATAACCAATATGCAATTACTACAAGTGCCAAACTATATTGGAGGTTCATAAATAATTAAATACTTTTATTAATATTTTAACTCAATTTTATGATCAAGTGTAGTGTATATTATACATTGCTTTATTAACCTATTCCAAGTGTAATAAAATACAACATTTTTATTTCCATTATTTAAAATACAAATATTTATATTAAACATTAATTGTGCATTTTTAAATAACAATTACAAACTATATAATAATTTATAATAATTTCATATCCAATAAGAATATATTATTATTTTATTTATTTATTTTTCAATTGGTCTTGAGCATATTAACTATGTCCATTAGAATTGTGTGAGGGTTACAGTTGGTTTAGGAACACGTGTTTAAGTGGTGTTAAAATTCGACATTAAAAACTGGGGTGCATAAAAAATCTGAAGATATAATGTCCAAACCACTACAGTTCAACCTAAAATATTTTGATAAATATTTTGTATTCTAGTAGAACCATATTTTAGACGATAAATATTTCAGTATATTGACTTTTAGCAGACAAATAATTTTACAAAATACTTTTCGGCTAAAATACAGTTAGGAGTTAGGACAAACTATCTGCCATCTATAATAGGGATCCGCCAAAATATTTGTCGGATGAAATACTGTCGACTAAATAATTTTCGACTTAATTCTTTTCGGCTGAAATAATTTCTTATCAAATACTATGAGCTGAAATATTTTTTCAAACATTTAAAAGTTTTAATGCAACTGTGTATTTAAAATTTTTGAAATGTTGATAAAAAAAAATTGACAGTTAAAAATAAACAAACATATTTTTCCGCTTTTATGAATTCTCAATTATCGATCCATAATCATTAGAAAAACCTCACTTACCACGACAATAGATAAATGTATCAATGACATATTTTTTTCACGGATACCCGGGCACTGCGGAGTAAATGGTAAAGAAAGAGTGGACTTAAAAAGCAAACAATTCACATCAACGACATCTCTGGAATATAAACACAGACCAAGATTTAAAAAAAATTTTCTAGAACCGATTTAAAAAATAAATGTCAAAATTAATGGTTAAAAATGAACACAAAATTAAATTAAATAAAAACAGCAACAGAAAAAAACTAAAATACTGTAAATCTCAAAACGAAGAGACGTAGTTGTGCTAAATCACCTCAGAATAGGTCGTACACACTACGCAGTACACACAATATACCCATTTTATCAAAAAATAGCCACCAAGAACATGCCAAACATGCGACTATCCATCTTCCCATCTTCTATTAAACACATTATCACAGAGTGCAGAGACACACAAGAGGGCTGACATTCGACATACCTGAGCACCTTCACGACGCACTGGGCACCAACGAAGATTCCATTATAAACATAATTTAGTAATTTAAGTATGTAATACAAACCATTGGTCCTGTTATAGATGAATAATAAAAAGCAAAAATGAAAGTAAAATAATACATTCTGTATAATATAAATATATTATTTAGATAGGTACCACTAAAAAATTTAATACAATTACTATAATTCTATACACAACTAAATACAACGACTGTGCACTCATAATAAACTCCATGCTCTGAATCAATTTTCTTATACGTTAGTCGTTATTATGATTTATTATTATTTGTATTATAATACTTATATATATTACTAATTAGTTTAATATAATTCCCTATTGAACAATAATATTTAATTTCGTAATGCAAAAAATCTAAAAACCAACAATATATTCAAAGAGAGTGCTTTCCTATTAGCTAAGCGAAAATATTTCCATACACAGGGGCTTATTTCGTCATCTCCATATTCCACTGTGTGGTCATTTTTTAGTTATATAATATTAGAACGCACTTATACGTAAAATATGATATTATGTTTTGTACAAAAGATACGAATCAAACAATACCCCCATAAAAGTATAAATATATTGTGAGTGTGTGTGTAGGTAGTATACTTTTTTTGGCACGTCCACAGCCGACAAAATACGTTATTTGAGCCATTTAGCCTACGGCACTAATATAATAAAATTCCTTATATTCATAGGACGTTTTTATGATAGGTACTTATGTGTATTTTTATTTCCAAATGTAAGAAAAAAAAGAAATAAACGGTTACGGACTTATATGATGTATGTGCTATAATGACAGTCCCGCAACGTCGTCAGGGTATAATATATAATATATTCTATAGGTTTTATACAGAAAAGTATCGATTTTGGGGGTTTTGATATTATATTTTTATTTTATTAATGTTAGCAGAGTGTTGTCGAGGAGTTTTTATTCTGTAGTTCAAATGTTCTTAACACTGTCGCCAATAATAGTGAAGAATTTTCCTGTTGTTTTTTTTTAGATATTATCTGTCCAAAAATATCACATTGTCAGATCACATATTTCGTGCTGTGTATAATATGAACACTCTCATTTTATAATATTGTGATCAATTATAATATCAGACCATAATATTATACTCATTTAAACCGTTTTTGGATTGTCGTTTTTCAGTGGAAGCACAGAGGGATTTCCACATGACCAAGATAAAGGACTCGGTGAAGTTATTATCGCGTCACTTCTACACAACCACCGCAGTGGCGGTCGATCATTACGACCAGACTACGGCGATTGCGGTCAGACCACTGTCGCCGGCAGTCCCATCGACCGAAGCCATGGACGTGCCAACTACAACCACGGTCAGGGTACTGATAGCCGGCAAAAAATTTCGGCCTGATACCACAACCGTTGCGGTCACCACGCCCAAAGCCACCACGACTTCGGTGGCGACCACTGCCGTAACAACATCCATCAGCACGGTTTCGACGACTGGATCTACTACCCTCTCACTAGCCTCTCAAATTCCTTTGCGTGAGTTAATAATTATTCACTTGGCAGTGAAGTTTAAGTGGTTTTATGTTCAGTGTTACACACCAAATAATAATTATGGAAATTAAACCACAAAGCCCGGAAAGATATTTCATCCGATCAAATGTGTTGTATTAGGACTTTAAAGTATAAACCTATTTTATGTATAGTATATTATAAATTATAATATTATTTATGGAGTGTTACACAACTAAAACTGATAAATGGAATTAACTAATAACTATTTTCAACTTTTGTTCAAATAAATATTTTTATTGTTTTTTCATACAAAATTTATTATGATAATTTTGAATCGTTTACACTGTACATTTGTACCTACTACTTCTATCTACTCAAACTTTTGACCCGTTATAAATGTCTACATATATATTTTGATCTACAATATAGAATATATTATTCACCTCTCATCAAATAGCATAATTATTTACTAAAGTAAAAACGAATATAAACATATTAGAATTCCATTACAATCGAACTTGAAATTTAGTATTATAAAAATCTAGAACAAAATTATTATTAATACCTGTTTTTTTTTTTAAATAATGACAATATTTCAGTAAATATCTGCCACTTAATCAAATCTATATAACGACATATTTTTATGTAAATATGTAAAACGTCCGAAGTTGTATTAAAATACTAAAATTGATTAATTTAGGAGGATGTAGTTTGCAGAGATCGCCACATTACAATAAACAATTCATGTCTGAAGGTGACGTAATCAGGGTGAGTAACAGCCATTACAGTTAATATTATTAATTTATCAGAGGAATGGGTAAAGCTATAAATATTTAAAAGAAATGGGTAAAGCTTTAAATATTTAAAATAAGTCCAAGTACGCTCGAAAAATACTAAAAAGGGCTTTTTAAATTTAAATTTACAAAGTTTTTAATATTTATATATTTTGTTGGTATTATTGCCTATTGGCACGACATTTTAATCGATATATAAAAAGAATGGTTTAAGAATGTAACTTTTGGATAATGCCTTATTTCGTTATTATTCATGGGCTCAAAAATAAAAAGTTCGATTTCAATATATCAAATTGCTAAAGAGATCAGTTGTAAACTACAAACCGTTAAAATATTATATTACTTCATAATTATTAATGATTTTTAACGATTGTCAATTTTAAAAATTACCAAAGTTGTTCTACGTCAAGTTTTTTAATTTGGGTTTGAACTTATCAAAACTTTACTTAAAAATAAAATGATGAAGTATAAAAAAATGTCTGTTAAGGAATAAAAAGTTATTATAACAGAAATATATAGAACCATTTGGTTGTATACCTATATATATTTTTCATTCAGTTAGAACTTTTTTTTCTCATATTTTTAATGGATGGTTGAGACTATAAATATTATGTATATTATTTTGATTGCCATCAATGTATTTGATAATGTAGATAAAACCTTTTAAATTAAATACTTTAGTTAGGAACTGAAGTCCAAACGGATCTGTTTACACATATGTCACTACTATATAGTAAATTGTGTTCATTTAAATTGTAAAACATTTTAGTAGGCGATTAATGTGCTGAAATGGTTCTTTATAAGTTTGAATTAAAGAGTAGGCATTGATAACAATATCTATAGGTACAAAATAGGTACATAATTGTGTATATGATTTAAAATAGGATTTTTTCAATGCCCTAATTGATAAGTTTCACTGCAAATATTATCTTCAACGTGGATCTCACACGATTTTTTTTCGGTGTGGTCATTACCACTCAATTTCTTTACCAGTTACGTGTATTGTTATTATACAGGGTGGTTTGTTTTATCACTAATCATTTTATAGATAAATGCAAGTGATATTTAAAACATTATTTTTCCATAATTTTGGGTCATAACATAATATAATCGTTTTAAAAACGTAAAAAAACCTTCAAAAAATTATAACAATAGATATTTCTTAAAACTCATACAATTACCGTTAAAGTTACTTTTATGTCTTGAATATTATTTATAGTTTACGGCATACCCCTAAAATATAAAAATATCGATTTTAAGGACTTTATTTTGGTTATTATAGCTTCACAGTTTGGAGGACAACTCGTGCTCCGAGGTGTGCCACTGCAAGACTGGCGAAAGTCTGACTTGTCAGACCATCTGTGTGGAAGTCGAACCGTGTGAAACGGAAATCGCGTACTACCATCACGAGTCACCAGCTTACATCGCTTTTCGTGGCCGGTGCATGTGCTACGTCGGACGATTTATTTGCATGCGACCAAAAATGGGTATGATATTACGACAACACGTCATATGTTTTTTATTATCGTTTCGATTTAATAAACAGAAAACATCTATGTACCTGCATTGAAACCATTTGCCTGCCATTCGGGTTAATCGTGGTATTACTTTTCGTGGGATGGGTGGGGACTAGAATTTGAAGGCAATAATGTTGTTTAGTGACCTCTCACCGCTGAATTTGAATTTTCAAATACTATTGCCTATAAGACGATACATTTTTTCAACGTTATCATTTTTCAAACAATTTTCCACCCTTTTTGTTATACTGGTACTGTATAAATACTTTTTTTTTTATTAGAACAAATGAGAATATATTATATACAATATGTAATAACATTTACACAATAAGTAATATGAGGTGGGCGGGTCCCAGTATACAGAACCGGTCAGCATGATAGAAGCGGAGAAAAAATGACCTTACTTCATAATTCTAGGCTGTTTTTTTTAAATGTTGAGGAGGATAAATACTTCTTCAACATGATCTTGATTTTTCGATCGTCTCATAGATTGGTGGACTTGTAGATAACATAGAAATAACTACTTTGAAGTACCTACTTGAACTTATACAGCTACTGAATTACAACTTGCAACAACCAATAAATAGTATTGTGTAGGTAGGTATGTGATTTTAACAACATATTGTATACCAAAAACAAACTAAATGTTTTGCTATCGTATATAATGAACTTTCACTTTTTTATACTAAGATAAGGGTCTGAAAAATAATCTATTTGAATAAAATATAATCTATTATTATCTATTTGAATAAATATTCCGACCCGTCAATTACTACGTTTATATGATGGCGTTAAAACGGTTTAAGACTAAACCGTTTTGAAAGTTAAAACGCTCGTGCTATGTAGTTTAAAAATTTAAAACCGTTTTATTTGCTGAAACGTTTATATGTACATCTGATAAACCGGTTTAAGCAAATAAAACGGTTTTAAATTCTTAAACTACATAGCGCGAGTGTTTTAACTCTCAAAACGGTTTAGTCTTAAACCGTTTTAACGCCATCATATAAACGTAGTATATGATTGTAGAAAATGAGAAATTATTTTAACAACCCATTTGTTCAGTAAAACATATTTCATTGGCCACCTGCTAGTATCTCTAGTGATAAAATACACTAGAGTTTCTAATGCGTATAGATAAAAATAAAAACAATCTTTTCTTCTTGTTACCCCCATTGTGCACCTACTGAAATTATATATTTGTGTATCGGGTGAAATGTACAATATTGTTTTAATAATGTGATACGTGTTATTTGTTTAAACAGGTTCGTATACGCTTGTACCAGGCGTGTTTCTGTTCTTGGGATACAGCGAAAAGGACGAACAGCTGTTGAAAAGTTTGGATATTATGAACTTTGAGATTAAAGACCTGGTTTACACCATACAGAAGTTCATACAAGAGCACATGGTGTTTAACGTGAGTATCACAATATACGACATGAAAAATGTTTGTGTTATTACTATCTTACAGTAGAACAAATATAGCCCGAAGATCAACAATGCATGCTATATTATTATGTGTGTATTACAGTGAAAGACGTAATAATAATTATTAATATTATGGAGTATAGTAGAATTCTGATAATATCATACTATGCATATTTACTATGATCAATAGCGCGATAAGGAATGGAATAGTTTTGATATCAGATAAGTATAATAATAGTATGCAAGTCAAAGATGTGTATGAATCGCGAATACAAATTGTTCCTTCTTGTAATGTACAATAAGTATAATCATTATGCATAATCAACAATACATTATACATAATATCTAGGTACTAATCTTTCCACCACTTACTTCATACTTTTATTCAAACACTAAATAAAATTTAGTAAATTAGTTTTTTAACGATTTGCAAAAATGTTTTTTTTAATTGTAAATCTTAAATTTTTGAGAAATGCGGAAAGGAATATTTATATTTTGAGTTTTTGAGTTTTACCCAAAAAGTATACTTAATTAATACAATTTCAAAATACTGAGTCTGAAGCAATTTGGTTAATCGGAAAAACACTGCGAGGCATACCATTTATAGAGAAACTTACTCAAACAGGAATACGATAAAATGAAAATTATTTCAAGTTAGTTATGTACCAATAAATAATATTTTATTATACATACGCTATAACATTACAATATATTATTTTTTTTTCCTGTGAAAATAGAGATTATGATGATATAGATTATGAGGAGAAGGTCTGTTGTTGTAGTTATACGTAAATCATGTCACATTATTATATTATATAAAATAGTGAAACAGATGCTATTGTATGTGTAATGTGTATATTATTATTGTTTTTTATGAATAATTTGTGTGAAACATATTGGGTAGGGTGTATATAATCTTAAATTTCAGAGCTGAGCCTGAACTCCAATTCACATGAGTCCTATTCCTCGAGATGAGTGTAACCGAAAGTAATTAAATTGATAACCACAACCTCCCCACCCTTCTCTTAATTCCATTGAAAGAAAACAAAAGCCAAATATCGATTTCTGTTTACGATACATTTCGTGCAGATAACTAATTAAACCGAAGGAACAGTGGAAAATGTAACTTTAGGGATTAAAATGTCTGACGATTTCAAGCAAAAAATAATTTAGGTTTCTAAACACTATCTAGTATCTATATTCCTGTAGCCTTGTCACAATATAATTATTTTCGTAAATCGCCATCCAATAAAAAAATGTAATTCATTTAAAAGAGATATTATTTAACTCTATTTTTGGTTTAATCTCCTAATACCATTATTTTCTGATAATATGTTTTATAATTATTTAATCAATTAAACTTTTCACTACATATTTATTAATCAAACAGTCATATACAGCTATTTTTTGATGTGCTCATAGTATATGTATTTCATCAAAATGTTTTCGTATTCATAAACGTTTTGATAAAATTAAGTTTTTTGTAATGGTTTTTATTACTCTTGGCGTCAAGGTTACATGTGACGTTTATAAAAAGGTTATCCTTATACCAAATAAAACAATAACCAATATTTTTGATGTTACACCTAAAACGTATTTGGACCCAATTCGATTGTTCGATTTAACAGTAGCTTGATAACAACCTTTGATGTGTGCAGGTTAAAATGATTAAATTAGGCTTAAATTGCAAAGCATATAATATGACCAATGTAGGCCCACCTAGGACAGTATTTACCATCGAACTAAATTAGGTATTCTTTTAAATTAAATTATTAAGATTATTTGTACAATAGGTATAACGAAAAAAAGAAACATAATGTATGAATAATTAATGTGGCATTTATTTTCAAAGTGTATACATTATTAATTCCGACATATAGGTACGGCTTAAGTCAAACATGAGAGCATTTCAATACTAATATATTATAATACGATCATTGTGAAGTGTTTCGACAGACCGTATCGATTAAGTCAGAACTGTAGTTTTTCCGAACAGCATTTATAACGGTCAATCGTTATATGACTTTATCCTACGTTTCTGTAATAAAACAATGATAGATTCATTCAGATCTGATTATATTTTGTGCTTGTATTTTATTTTTGACAAACCAGTTAGAGAAGTATACATATTATATATATTATTCCTTCAACTGTCTATAAAGGAACCGATTGCATTTTAGACGAATCTGCTATACTTTTGTAACTGTTAAGGGAAATAGGTATCACAGTGGTTTTCAGCAAAGTATTTTTGAGTAGACCATCTTTAAATATAACATTGTCAGTAACCTGAAACAACCTTAAGTTTAGCCTAATATCCTCGTGAGGGACTGGTAGTTATAAACTTCCATATGAGTGAATTGAGTTTTCTGCAGAAATATCCGTGAAAAACAAAGAAGGGTATTATAAATACATTTTTTTTAAGAGGACCTCACCTGCATGTGTTGTTTCCGTCTAACAAGTGCGTAACATATCAAATGTACGCTCAACAGATCACGTTTAATGCTGTTGGTTTAAAAATTAGAGTGAATTGACCTCTTATAAAACTTGATGGTAAGAACATTATCTGTGTTTTTATGTTGGTTTTATACAGTGGGTCAAGTTTGTAGCAAGTTATGCTTATATAATATAGCGTAAATTAGAAATGCACATAACTCACTTACAACTGAATAATCATAAAAAACCAACAAACGAACACAAATAATGTTCTTAGCAACAAGTTTCATAATAGGTAGATTCACTCTAATTTTTAAACTAACGGAACTAAACAACGTTGATATGCTGAGCGTAAATTTGCTATGTTATGCACTTGTAAGGAGGATAAAACTATAATGTGCGGGTGTCCATCTAATATTATATCAAAATAAATATTTAAAATCAAACAAATTAACTTTTACACAACTCATTTTTAATAACTATTTTGCTGTTAAATTGTAAGGTGATACGATAATGTTTCCTTAAAGGTTGTGATAGTTTTTTTGTCTTGTGTGACTGCAACGGTATAATTAACTGTCGTTTTTTTTTTTTTTTTGTACGTAACATTATATTCTAAAAACATAATAATATGATTTTTAAAAGTTGTGCCTAATAAAAATTTATTTTTGTATATTTTGATAAATCGTATGAATTACGATACTTATTCAATAATTAAAAATTGAAAAGTGAAGTGGATGTAGATTATTATTGGTTTAATTGTATGTTTTAAATTAAAAATATTCTATAATGTAGAATTTTTTTTCTATTCCCATTCGAAGAATTTTTGTTCATGATTTATTTATGAAATCAGTACCTGCACTAGGTTGAGTATATTCACATTATTGTTTACCACTTAATTAATATTTACTGGGGCTTAAATTTTAACCCGGAAGCGAAGAAAAAAAAGGATTATTTTACCGTAGGTATTTAATTAAAAACGTTTTAGCCTAACCCAACCCTTAACTATATATAGTTTATAAAATTTACAATTTACAATCGATAGGTTTTATATTTTTGCGTCTCAATTTTCTATATCAGACAGCGTTTTTGATTTCTCAACAGTTGTATAAAATATGTTTGTAATGATAATTAATACAATGGCATAAATGAGCTCAAGATGATAATATCACATAACGATAATATTATAATGTGTTACGAAACTTGAAAGTTGTAACTTGTGTTGAACAAACAATATTATGATAATATACCTACCTAGTTGTTAATGGGGTAATAATATATGTTTTCAGACTACATGCAAGTTGCAACTACACAGCATGTCATTCGAGAATATGATCATAATGGGGAAAGCGTCTCAGAAACTTACCACTGGAGGTTACCTCAAAAACGATGCTACGGATATCCGGTCTTCCGTTATCCAAGATAATGTAAGTTTTCCAAAATTATTTTTCACACACAGATACATTAAATACACACAAACTGACATACTCCCCACTCACGCAGATAAATTCATATTACGACCATTAACAATTATGAAATCATAACAATAATTACAGCACTAACCGTAAAATTGGAGTCAAATTACACTATCTGATATGAAGCACATTAAGTAAATTATGTATTTATTTTTTATATATATATTAAATATGCATATAAATTAGAGTACGTATAACCATTAGGCGCTAATGTGGAAACAAGTCATCCGACAGAAGGCAATGTAGTAAACGTAAACACTGTTAAATACTTTAACACTATTATAGTTCAATTTCACGTGGTTCTAAAATTGAATTCGTTCGTTATCAAATAATAATTTTTAATAATCATTATATTATAGGTATAATAATAATTTTATAACTCGAAAGTTTAACATTGAGCAATAAAAGAACTGATCATTTTCAAATGGTAATGAACATCATCTTATATTTTGTAAATTTAATTACATAGAATATTCTAACATTTTAACGCAATTTAACGCAAACTGTAATTTATAGAATATCATCATTGAATGAAAAATAATTCTAAACGAAATATTTTAAAATCTATTCATTTAAAAGGTCAATTGGTTTCTTAGAAATATTTATTCATGCAAAAAATCTAAGAATTGATTATATTATATTCGGTATCCGGGCCATTACCTATCCGTATTAGTTATTATTTTAAAATTTAATAGGTATTAACACTATTTTAAATAACATTAAACCCAAAACTTGTATAACGTTTTAGTTCTAAATAACGTTTTTATTCTGAATAACGATATATGCGAAAATCGTGTAACGTTTTAATTATGAATTACATAAAACGGATTTTTTTTCAAATGCAAGCTCTGATCTTAAGGTAGACGTTGTTTCAATCAGAAGTTGTTTGTTTTATTTCTAATATTTTATAATGGAGATTTTCTATAGTTGATTTATGTCCTGAATGACATATTTTGAATAATTGATCTGCATTGATTGGAAGTTCCAAGTATGGTCCATCATTCGGGCTCTTATGTATACGCACCCGTATACATAAGTCAGGGGGATTTAAAATTATTTTGAGAAATATGTTTTATATTGTCTATTAATTTTTAATTTTTGTTCGAGATTCTGCAGTCTACAATTGCCATGTGTATGAGTAGTTCTATTATTATATATAATAGTATAGTAAATTAGTAATGAGCATTTAATTTGTAATTTTGAGTTCTAGTTTATTAGGTTGTACAATATTTATATTCTTGACACCGATGACATTGGGATTTTATTTATGTGTATATTCCAAGTTAGTTTTTCATCAATAAAGACTCTGTGGTATTTAATATACTAATTACCTTTATTATTCCAACTTATATTTAATTATTAATTATTATTAGAGTTGGTTTTGTGTATCTCCTGGGGTAAAAAATTTTGCATTACGTTTGGTAGGACTAGGTACACCCTAAACGTTTTTTTGATTTTGTGAATCATTGAGTCATTAGATCAAATCATTCTAAATTTGTTAGTTTCGTTATCATAGTGGTATCATCCTCATATTTCTATAGTTGGCAATATAAAACATAAAATATAATAATACTATTAAATAAATAATAAATACATTTTTTATTAAAAATATAAAATTTAAACAGGGTGAGTCCGAGGACTGATCCTTAGGAGGAGGAACTACGTAGCCTACGTAGACCTAACCTAACCTACGTAACCTCTACTTGTAGAGAATACTTTGGAGCTATTTATTCCTACTCGTGTTTGGAAGGTGTAATTGGTGATAAATGGTGAGTTGCAGAGTTATGGTACATTTTCTGCCTAATTTCATTAGAAGCCCTTTGTGCAATACCTTTTCGTAGGCCTGTACGTCGAGAATTTTGTTGTATGAGTTTTATTGTAAGAACCGTTAATTATGATTTTGGTATTCCGTCGTAGTTGGTAACTTGTTAAATTGGAGAATTTGAATGAAATTGATGAGATAGTATTATTTTGAAGAATAGTCTCATTCTGTGGAAAATAACTTTTTCTAAGAGTTTTAGAGACGTTCGATAGTGGAATTATTGATCTATAAATTTCTTGTAAGCTATTCGGTATTTATGCATTAGGGAAGAAACGAATGAATACCTATAATGTTTGAATTATTTATATCATCACTATTACGATATTATCATAGATTGGGCGTACTAGTTTGCGTTAATAAACTAATAAATGAAAATAAATCGTTCACAATCACTACAATACCTTATAAACGTAATAAGAACGTATTATAATTTACTATAAACGTCATGGTTCAAAAGTACCTATACTATTTCGCGTGTTTTAATCCATTATAATAATCATATATTATTTTATGCTAGATAAAATTTGTATTTTGTAAAGTTTCGAATCCAATATTAACATAATCATTTTAAAGTATATTATGGTGGTCGCATATATTTTATTTGTCATTTTTTAGTACCCACTAAGTGTTAAGGTAAAATTCCATTATGGCATCTGCATATAAATGTAGCAAACACTTATACAGTCACCAAATAATAAATATTGTGTTTAAAACAGTAAAAGTCAAATTATTACCTCCTTATCATATCAACCACGGTGCAACAATAAAACCAACATAAACAAATAAGTCTGTAGGTGCTTAACTAATTTTAATTTTTTAAAAAAGTGGCTAATTTTAACAAAATGTAAGTATATGGTTATTGAAAAAATACTAAAAAGTTAATTACGTAATTAAAGCTATATGTATTAAATTGTGTTTAATAAACTTTTTGGTCTTCGTACACCCTATACGTGTCCATATTATTATACACATATATATATCGTATTAAGCTTTTAAAGGTTAAAATACTTGTACTTTTAAGGTCATTTACAGTGTAAAATATTTTTTCAAAAGTGAAAATAAATATTTTTATCGACTATATAGTTATATACGATTTTTGAGAAGGTTTGTTAGTTTTAATTTTTGTGAAAATCTGTATTATACATTTTTATATAATTCAATTGGTTTATAATTAGTAATTCGTAGTTATAAAAACCTAGTATTTCACACTGGGGTAAGTTTCCTGCCTTTGCGTCTGATCTAGTTTTTCAAAAAGTTAAATAACTTTATAAGAAATTGAATTTTTATTTAAAACTAAGTTTTGTTTTTTTTTATATAATAATAACTTGTATTGGTATGTATATTATATATTATTAATAATATAATATACCGTAAGGTGGGGTTACTTTGATCATTAATTTTCAATTATTTTAGTTTTATACTTATTGTACTAGTAACCAACTGAAATATATAACATTTAATTATTAATAATTATTCTACATTATACCTTTAACTGAACATTTCTCCAACCAAATTTTTTTTTTACATTTTTACATTAGTTATAACTAATATTAGTTATTGATCAAACTTACCCACCTTTTGGGGTGACTTTGATCGAACCCCTGAAAATGCGTATAAACATGGGTACAGTCATCAAAGTGATCATTCTCGCCCCACAAAAAAATCAGTTCGGTAATTTTTGAGTTTTGAGAGAAAAAATGTTTTGTAGAAAAAAATCAAATGATCAAAGTCGCCCCTTAATGTCAAACTCACCCCACCTTACGGTACATAATATATATAATATACAGAAGACAGAAGTTCAATAATTATGATTTTGTAACAGCCACAAAATATTTGTCGGGGGGACGAGGTGGCCGGGCGGTCTAACGCGTCGACTGCGGCGTTGGCAGTCGCGGGTTCGACTCTCGACCACTGGGCGGCATTTTTCTCCGGGCAAGTCACGGTGTCCGGAGTACAAATGCCGCCATCCCCCACCCCGGGGCATGGCAGAAACCTACGGGTGCCCCCAATAAAAATTCTGCCACCACAAACACACTCGTGTACCAACCTACCCAATCTAAAAACCTACAGTTCCCTATACACACCCAATGGCCCATGTTGCCGCGGGTTATCCAATAAAAAAAAAAAAAAAAAAAAATATTTGTCAACAAAAGAATTTTGAATTTCATATTGAAATAATTGTATAACATAGAATTACTAGAAAATAAAACAGTGAACCAAGCTAAATTAAGTTGTCAAAAAACTTTTTTGTATTTTAGTGACTGGTTGTAGAGTAATGAATATTAAAAATATAATAGGTAAATTTAATTTTTTTTGTATAGAGAGAGTTTTTTTCGTTGCCATATTATTTAAATGTCTAATTTTTTTTTTTTTTGAATTTGCAAAATTAAAATGTAATAATAAAATGCGGACAGATAATCATTATACAACGAATTATAAAAACCTTATAAAGGGAAAATTAACATTAATACAATAATACGTTATTTTCTATCCTAAAATAAAATTTTTCTACTATTAGCTCAGCTTTTTCTTTATGTTAATTTATTATTCTTAAGTCTACTTTTAAAAACATGCCAAATCGAACGATTAAAAAAAATAAAAATTTGAGAATTTTATAATGGAGCTAAATACTATGCAAATAATATTATGCCACACAGTATACTAATTGCTAATATGCTCACATTTGTAAGTCACAGACATACTATTTTATAAATTTATAAATTACACTTAATATCAGAGTTTTTGAAAATATTATGACTCGTCATCATATTTTTTTTTTTCATAGCCAGTAGTTTTCATAAAAATATTACTAATTATTAATTTATTACCACAAAGATTTAGACCATTTGCATTCGACATCATTTTTTTCTATCATTAAAATTAAATAATGTTAAGTAGAAATAAATTTAATTTAAAATTGATTTTGTTTTTTGTTGTAACTCAAAAATGAATAACTATAGAAACTTGAAGTTTATACCCAATATTCGTATTATATCATTTGCTAGATATTTTTATAAAAAAATTTAAAATTGTAAAAATAATTTTGATTAATATATAAATACATCTTTTTTTGATGAAAAAATCTTTTAAATTGAATATAAAATTCCCATAAGTTGTTATTATATAGATT